CCCATCCGAATCAGATTGGGAGTAGAAGGGAAATCCTATTTTTAATCAATTCTCTATGAGAACATGCTCCTATATTTTGTGGATGGCGAAAAAATTGGCCATGATCTCAACTCATGCCAACATAACAAGCATGCTATAACTCAGCCGAAGAGGGATACTCTCCATCCCACAAAACAGCAATCAAAGCAACCGGTGCCAACATCTGAAGCTCTAGAGCAACCAATCTTGGAGTTATCAGTGGGAGAAAAAGGCTTGGAGTCTCAACAAGTCAACAAAGATAAGTCCTGTGATAAGCAAAGCACGGAGGAGAATAATGGCTTGAACCTTCCATTAATCGTCGGTCAACCGGCGATTGCAGAACAAGAATCTTCATCGGCAGCAGCGAATCATTGTTCTACAATGATGGATGATCGGAGGAAGTCTCTGGCAACCACCGGAAGAAACGAGATTCCTCAAATCTCGCAGTCGCGACCGAGTCCGGCTCCAACACAATCACCGCCGAAATCATAGCCTCCAATTCAATCCACCCCGGACCCCTCTCTACTTCTGTATTCTCTCTCCAATTCACAACCTCCAATCCAATCAATCCTAGATTTCAAGCTAACCTCCCAACCTCTTTCCAAATTGCAACCCGTGCCTAATGCGTGTGCAAGAGATGCGCAATCAGTGCCTTCAAACCCTTCCATCTGTAAGATCCAAGACTACAACAAAAAGAACCTCCTATCATCCGGAAAAATTCAATGCTTTCCCGAAACACATGCCCCCTTAAGTATTAATACCCCGCTAATACAAGTCTTGCTTCCTTTTTCAGCTCCAACGACGGAACAATTGCACAAAAAATATTTTTCAAAAGATTATACAAAAGTTGGGAAAAATTCAGAGTCATTTAGCACAAATTTCTCAACCGATCTTATCAATTTCGAAGGTGAACAACAGAAAGCTTTTAATGGCTCAAAATACAACGAAACCGACATATAATTAGCAATGGAATGAGAGTTTTTCTATAATGAAGTTTCTGCTCAGCCACAGCCACACCATAATCGTAAAAAGAAAACTAAGGGCAAGTCCAATGTTAGGGTTCGCCGATTTTCTAGAATAAATAAGGGAACTACCTCTGCTCATGTTTAAAATTGTATTTGGCATAGTGTTTAGTATATACGCTGTCCTATTTTATTTTTCATAATTAATTACATTATTTTTGCTTAAAAAAACCAATATATTCATAATTTGTTGAGTCAATCTTTGCATCGATGATCAATTGCACACATCAAGGTGGATGTTATTCCTTTGCCTAGAGCTTCTCTCATGATTGTTATTCGAAAATTATCTTTAATTACTTGCGACTTATTTTTGTTATTCACTAATTACAAATATGAAAACAACCATCCTAGTCACTTTACTTTTGTTATTTTTGTTATTCACTAGTCACTTGCTCGTTCCTTTAGGAGACGACCCCACTCATCGCTATACTACTAAATCTGATAGGAGTAGGTTCTCTTATTTTTATTGGTTTGACACCCACCAACCCTCCAGTTACTTTTTGAAGTTCTTCTGGTTATTTTTTTAAATTTCTGCGGTTATATTTGAATTTCATGTGGCTATGTATTGATGTACTTGTGGTTATTTTATGAAGTTCCTATACTTATTTTTCATATCACTAATCAAAATGATTAAATTAAAAAACCAGAGTTTTGCCCACAACTAGACCCTGCCCATCAAGGGTGGTGCTTACATCCCCCTAAACCATAAACCCTAAACGCCGTGTGAGAGAAAAATATTATATGAATTTAAACATTTTAAATCCTAAACATGAATATATTTTAATGTTCCTGCAGCATAGTTTCATAGTTCCTATTGTAATATTTTCATGTTGCAACAATATAGATTCAAAGTTCTGTGATAACTTTCTTAAGTCCCTGGAATATAGTTACAAAATGGACACATTAAAAAATTAAGAGTGTAAAATCATAATTAAAAAATTTAAAAAATACATTTGATATGGAGTTTGTTGGATATATCTTGCTGAGTACTATAAATTACATATATAACATATTTCATAATTTTTTTCGGATCACGACAAAAAAGCATTTCAAAGTTTTGGATGGTTTAAAAATTATATTTTTAAATTTGCCAATAAAACCCTCACAATGAATTGGAAAGAGCGACTGGAGAGAAAGAAAAATGGAAAGAATAAACAAAATTTTTGTCCACACATGTCTTGGACAGTAATATATTTTAAAAAATAGAGGGGATCCACCAACATATAGGTGGATCCGGTTCCACTGAAGATGTTCTCCAATATCGATATCAATAAGTAAATTGGAGCCCACCTCAACCTAAAACCTTAAGGTAATAGATTTTGGGATTAATTTAATTGTTAAGTGTTCCCTATTGCTCCCAAATATCGATGCGGAACAATTAACCTAATCATGAACTCAATAGAAAATGTAAAAAAATGTCCAAATATTGATATCCTTAACTCGACACCTTCGAGGTCTATCGCTCTTGATCAAAGAAGATTCGATAGTGAATAAGAAAATAGATAAGTAGATTGAGCTTACTTGCTATATTTGCACTTTTCTTTTAAATAACAAATAAAAGAAATTAGTTTGTTCAAAAAAAGTCTAGGGACTGATATATATATATATATATATATATATATATATATATATATATATGGGAGCGGCTAGAGTCCCATTATGGGATAATTTCGTTTCAGGATAATAACCATAGGATTAGTTAGACAAATTAATAACCGTAGGATTAAAATGAGGGTGCATCATAAGTAAATACATCTAAATCCAAATGATTAAACAAAAAAAATTTAAGAAAATTGTCAATTTAGCCCAAATCTTCAAGTGTCTGGCCAATTTTAACCCAAAACATTTTTGGGAAGCTAAATTCATAATCTAAGTTTCAATTTCTGGCCAATTGACGAAACTTCAGTTAGATTTATTACCTCAGTAACATTTCGTTACTTTGTACAATTTTTTTATTAGAAAAAGTTTTTGCGGACCCCATAATTTTGACATCTTTACCCCAATGATTTTATTGTTCTAAAATATACCCATAGAATTTTCAAAATCAATAAAATAAAATAAAATTAATAAAAAAATATTCTTAAAAAATTTAAATTTAATTTTTTACTCCCTTCGTTCCGTATTTATTGTCCAGTTTGGGATTTCACATCTAGTTCCAATTGTACTAAAAGTGAAATCTCAAACTGGACAATAATCTTGGGATAGAGGGAGTAAAAAACCTTTTCTTTCTTCTTTTTACCCATGTCCGTCACTGTAAAATTTTCATCCTATATTTTATCAATTACAATGAGAATATTTATATTCTAACAAATTAATATTAAATAAAATAATACTAAATTATTTAAAAATCGAAATCACATCCAATAAAATAATATAATATTAATAAAACACTCATTTTTAAAAAATCAAAATTTAATTTTTTAAAAAAACTTTTCATGTATTTTTTAAACTCCAGCACATCACTGTAGAATTTTCATTCTATTTCATCCTATATTTTGTAGATTCTACAATTTTTTTGCTAGAATCTACTAATAGGTAAATATAACTCACAACAATTTTATAGATTAATACATATCCAAAAAAAGGAATTACAGTAGAACAAAATCTTAAATTTTAACTTAATTATTCATTTTATCAGAACTTGTCTTAAAATTAATATTTTTACTTTATTCTAAGCGTACCAAATTAAAAATTATATCAAAATTTGTGCAACGAAGGTACATTTATTTTTTAAAAAAATTTCATTTGAGTTTCAAAAATTAAAATTTTTATTAGTGTAATATTTATTTTAATTCCTAATTATTTTTATGAATATAATTATTTTAATATTTGTATTAATATTTTATTCAATATTAATTTTTTTGAAAAATAAATATTTCTTATTCCGAAGATACCCTATTGACTTAAATTATAGACGGTTAAACTCTTGGAATAAAGAGGTCAATGTCAAACTTTTGGAATAGTGCCAAAGAACAAAAACATTAACAACTAAAAATATAAAGGACTATTTTAGCTAAATTTAATTTGTAGGACCAAAATGTGCATTTGGCCTAATATAAAAGACCACGAAATGAAAAAGAGTAATTAGTTTGAAAAATTGTAGAATGTTTCTCACCCCATAATTACATCTTATATCCTCAATGTTGATTGGTTGAAGAGAAAACAGTACGGTTCCGTAAAATTAACCAACGGGACTCTAGATTTTTCTTATATATATATATATATACCCTGATATTCTTAGCATTCAATCATATATAATCCTCAATAGCCAATTTTAGGCAAGCCCATCTGAACACAATTGATGATAAGATGTCTATTTTTTTTTTTAAAAAAAAAACTTCAATACTTTGAATTGTGACGGGATTTAATGAAACTGAGGGCAGAATAGAAAGTTCAACCAATTGTTTTTGAGGCGGAACCACATTCGCTTTTATATGGTATCAGAACCAGCCCGCCAAAAGTTAGACTTCAAAGCCTGACGTGATAGAATTGATAGGGCTGACACGTAAAACGGTGACTTGGCTGACAAGCCCAATCCAAGAAGAGGCGTTGGGCTTGTGGGGGAGTGTTGAGTATTCCACATCGGTGGTGAAAGAGATTTGATATCAGTATATAAGTCTGAATTACTCCCCTCATGAGCTTTTACAAATACAGCAATATACAATTGATCATAATAATCTTATTAACACATTCTTCATTAATCTCATAGTATTGATTCTCCTAATCTTACAATTGATTCTCATATATATAGTATTACAGTTTAATTAACAAATTCCTCTTTATTGCACTCCCATATAGCAACGAAAGGTACTAGCACGAGAGTAGATATAGGCCACCTGATGAAATTGATTTACTCTCTCGGTCCGGAAAGAAATAGTCTGTTTTATTGTACCGTAACAGCACAACAAAATAAACTATCAAATTTTTTCTTTTTGGAACAGAGCGTATCTCGAATATTGATCACATCACAACGCACCGCCGGCACGTTGTGATCCTCACAACTCTACAGGCCTGTGGCCGCTGCGGCTGCACACACTGAACTACCACCTGCGGTCGCGGCTGGCACGGGACGCACTCAGTCACCGGTTTCCCTGGCGGCTTGCATGGAGTCACCGGTTTCGGTGGCGGCTGGCATGGAACGCACGGAGTCACCGGTTTCGGTGGCGGCTGGCATGGAACGCACGGAGTCACCGGTTCCGGTTGTGGCTGGCACGGAACGCACGGAGTCACTGGTTTCTCTGGCGGCTTACACGGAGTTACCGGTGGGCAACATGTACATGGATGCTCTTTTGCAGGTTTGCAATTGCTACAGTGCTGCCCTTGTTCATGTTTGCAACTTTGCAGCTCTGCATTGCACTTATAATTCTCTTTTTGAAGTTTCTCCACCTCGTCTTTGTACTTTTTGATCGTAGCCTCATATTCCGACATCTTCTCCTTAACCTATGTACCAATCGAAAAGAAAAAGGTAATTATTTGGGTCATCCCTTTGGAATTAAAAAAAGGAGCAATATAATCCATGACAGATATTCATTATTCAGTGGGTAGTTTCAACTAGTGTCTTATATTTTGAATCCTATAACCGACCATGCGACAATTATATATTGTAGTGTTTTCTGATATTAATACATGTGGACACTTTTGAAGAAAATAACTTCTTAAAAGTATGAAATTGTAAGGCTAATTTATAACATATACAGTATTTGTTGTAGCATTGAATTAACTTGTAATGAGCTAGCACATATATATGTATACTTATTGGCCTTTGTTAAAATCTATTGATTTTTTTAATTCTGTTTTATTTTTTCTTTCAACTTATTACAACCATCCACCTGTTTAAATTTTTCGGTTTGATGTCCTAACTATCTTTTTCCCGTTCATAATTTTTACTAGCATGATATTACTCATATATAAATCTATATATGTGGTTTATGGTTAATGATGCGATGTGCAAATTCAAAAATTTTGATACAAATATCTATTTTTTATGCTGTTTATATGGGGTTTTAAAATGAAAAGCTACATCATGTAGATACAGGTCTCTAGTGATGGCTGAAAACAGCAAAATAACTTATATATACTCCTCCCGTTGAAGAAATAATAATTTACTTTATGAAACTATAAAGGGGCAAGTAAACTATTTTTCAGAGAAAAGAAATAATAATAACTTATATATACTCCTCCCGTTGGCATAAAGAAAAAAGAAAAAGATACAAAGAAAACCATTGTAATAATATATACCATTTTTTCGAGGCGTTGCTCCAGCTCCTTGTCTTCTGATGGTGTATTAATTTTCTCTTTTGAAGACGTTAAAACCCTTTGTGCAGTTTCCTTCTGCCAATTAGTATATGCAAAGTGAGAGTTAATATTAAATTTAGTTCCTTAATACTATGTTCCTCCGTCCTGTTAAAATCATTCAATTTCGGAAATAAGAAAGTTCAGAATTTGGCTTACGAGATTTTTCTATAAATAATAACATTCTAAAAATTGTGATACATTTTACAAGTGAATATCAATTTAGATTTTTAAATTGTGATAACCTTTTCTAGTTCAAAATCCAAAATTTAGATTTTTAAATCGAGCTGTTAAAATGAGACGTAAATTTCAGATGCTAATTACATGTGGAGACCAGACCTTGAATTGTTCATATATCTCATGTGTGTAGGGCTTTCCACCATTTTTCACAAGAATGTTGGCAATCAAATGAAGAAGTTGTTGGCGTTGCTGAGCCTTGGTCTCCTCATCCTTTGCTCTGTTATTAAACACTATCTTTCTGTTTCCACAGTCTTCAAGTAGATCCTATTTCATTCATTGAGGTAGGCCACAGAATTAGTTTTCTGGACCGATTTTTATTTTGAGACGAATAAAGTAAAAGAAAATATGATAAAAAATGAATAAAAATTATTACTATTTACATATCATGAAAATGGATGATATGTATAGTCCCACAAAATTGAGTTCACTCACACAATAATATTAGACTATTTTTTTGGGTAGGGGTCTGTACTCTGTAATTAAATTACCTGTAAAGCTGGTGGACACGAACGGCCCAAGAACTCATCCAATGTGTCATCTTCTTCAAGTTGATCACCACCAGTAAAAGTGACAATCATATAATCAAGAATTCTGTCTCCAAACAAATGCTTCAAGGTCTCAACAGTTTCAACTTGTTCCTCACTGAACCGAACTTTCAGTGACACAACCAAAAGAACAGCATGAAGCCCATCTATAGACATTTGTATGGATCTTACAATTTCTTTCTCAATATCTTCACGGTTACTAGTTCCATCGAACAAGCCTGCATTGAAGCACCCAATCATTGGATAAAAGTATATATCTTTTCGAGATAAGTAAGCGATCCCATTAACTTGACTTGAAATCATCTAGTAACAATTGACAGGAAATTGTGGGGTTCCGGCATTACAAAAAAAAAAAGAAAGAAAAACAATTGACAAGAAACTATTAAAAACTCTCTCTATCTCCAAATTATTGTCCAGTTTCTATTTCTATATTTAATTAGTTTAATTTAAACTAAATCTGAAAATCCCGACTCTTGGACAATAATTTCGGGATGGAGAGAAAGTAAGTAATTCCGATAATTTGACTTAAAATCATCGCCAAAAACAGTTGCATTACCTGGCGTATCAATCACGTTGAGAACTCTCTTACCATCTTCTAACACGGTTGCTTTTCTCTCAGTAGTACTTGTCACGCGGCCAAAGGCAGCGACTGACTTGAATGCATTTTTTTTTCCAAGGATCGAATTTCCTGTCGCACTTTTTCCACTTCCCGTGCTACCAACTAAAACGATTGTTAAGTCTCCCGGAAAGATGTGAAAACTACCATTTGAGGCACCGGCCATTTTATCGAGAAGTTTTGATACTGTAAGGTGAGAATTTTTTTAAGTAAGATAGGTGATTTGGTTCAGGTACGTGCATTTGTATCCAATGTGTACGGATGGATTTATACAACAAGATGATGAGATTCAGAAGTATTGATTTTTCTCATGAATACTCCAAGAATTGCTAGTAAGTGAAGCAACGCATAACTTTCAGTGATTAGTTAATAAAGTTATATTACGCATGCGGTGTCCAAAATCATTATTCTGACTAATCTGGATTCGAGTCGGGTAGGTTTCTTCCGGAAGGTAAAACTCTCCCAACAAATATTTTAATCACTACTATATGTTCATGCCCGAGTTCAAAAACGGGTCATAGTGAAACTGGTCCAATACCTTTACCACTTGGACCAAATGCTTGTTGGTGATTAGTTAATAAAGTTAAATGTTCCTCATGAATACTCCAAGAATTGCTAGTAAGTGAAGCAATGCATAACTTTCAGTAATTAGTGAATAGCGTTAAATGTTGCCGTGAAATGAATCAAAGAATTAACCACCACATAGAAAAAGGAATTATACTGAATGGATGAAATGGAAGATTAGAAAAGAATAATTGTTCTATTTTTCTTGCAGCAAACATTGATCCACTCCTGGTAGAACTTAGCATATGATAGATCCAAAATTTTAACTTGGCAATGATAGTAACAAACTCGAAGTCCCAATATGGAGGAACATTTTCTCAATCGCAATATGGAGTATCAACCGACGATTCTTGCAAGTCAATAGTCGAATTTGCAAAAACCATATTCGCCTAATTAACCATATTCGCCTCGGAAAAAAAAAAAGAGAAAAAGAAAATACGGCGTCCTTTTTTTCTTCTTTTTCTTTCCAGCTGACAATTCTATCGCCCCTCTTTACCCTTCACTTTTCTCTTTGCTTTCAAGCTTCGATATATTATCTCTCTAACCAAAATGGAAAAAGAAATTGTCATCATTGAGTTTTGAGTGTACTAAAAATAGTAGAATTTGTAAAATTTAATATGAACTAGTTTTTATTTTAGTTTTCTCCACTTACTAATTTATCAGTTATTTATTAAAAACAACGGTTGGTCCATTTTTGATAGGGAAATATAATCGCACTCTTTGGGCCAAAATTAAAAGAAAATTTCTTTGTACACTTATACCAAAAAGTAATATTCTCTCATTTCCAAAAAATAATACACATTAAGTTTGAGTTTTGTATTGTAATAGTACAAAATTACAAATTCAATGTGATTTACTTTTATGGGACAAAAGGAGTGCTCACGAAAATTCATTTTGACCACTTTGTCCTATTATAACGATACTATTTCACACGCCCTAAAACAAAATTCTAAATTCAGCACTGGACGCATGCCACCCATTTCAAGCAATAGGGGGGAATTAGTTACAAGATCAAGTAGGTGACCCGTGCAATTGCGTGCACGGAGTTCTCCAAACTTTTATCTTCGTTCCTGTCTAATGAATTTTACTATTGTGACAGGCACCGGAAAAGTTGAAAATCAAAAGAATAACTTAGTATAATCTTATACAAAATATACTAAAGCAATAAAGTAAGATGTACTTGTGTGATTTTAATATTATATCGCCATTGAAACATAATGAAATGATGTTACAAGTAATGTTGTCAGACCAGGACTAGAAGACGAACCGGTAAAGTTAAGGAGTCACCGGGTCGCTGGGTCACTAAATCAACCCCGTTAGCCTGGGACAAAAAACCGAAATCTCGTTAGCCTGGGACAAAAAAACCGAATAAGACCTGTATAATGTCATATATAATTTTTAAATTTAAGATATATAAAATATGTGAAATCTAAATTATTAGTACAAAAACTATTAGTTTTTATTTTAAATTTTGACAAAACATAATAATTTAATGATAAGATAAGAAAAAATTAATTTAATTAATAATTTTAGGGTTATAATATTTAATTTAACTAATTTTAGGTAATCTACATAGACTCTTGTATAATATTAATTCTTAAGCACTACCAGCTTACTAGTTTGGTATTTAATAAAATAAGGGAGGAAAGACTTTAGGAAACTAGATGATATATATGTCCAACCCTTGGATATATCCTTTGGGTGCACTCTATCATCTAGCACTGACTGACTCAAAAATTCATCTATTGGGTATATTTGATGAGTGTTTTTTAGTTAGTTGGAACCTGAACTTCCTTTCGACCCTCCTATTTAATTTTTTTTTAAAAAAAGATAAGTCAGTCCACATGACAAAATTAGATAACCAAATCCACATGTCACAATCCATAAAATCTTTAAATAACTAATTTTACCTGATTTAATTAAAAAAAATAAAATAAATTTTCAATACATCAAAAAAAGAAAAGATAAAAACATAACGTAATTAAAAAATCAATTAGTGAGGACTATTATTTATATGATTATACCCTCTTGGTATTTCAATCACATGCTAATAATTAAAAAATGATAAAAATTATTTCAATTATATAAAGTAAAAGAAACTATAAGAAATAAGCGGATAAAAATTCTCTTAATTTATAAGAAAAAGTTTCCCAAAAAAATTAAAAAAGAACCTTTTTTTTCCTGTTTCAAAATATAAAACGAACATGTCCTTTGTTTTAGACCTCGGTACAATATTCTGGACATGCCTAAAATCAATATTCAACAAGAATGCGTAATTGTACTCATAACCAAATCCAAAACCACGATTGATGTTTTAACCAAAAAAAAAAGAAAAAAAAAACCACAATTGATGCGAAACCCTTGAGACCTATATTCGATATAACAAGTATAAGAAACAAGTGGATAATTGATATCCTATCAATTATTGAAAATTTTTGTATTTGTTATTTCAATAATGTGGAATAAGTATTTTTGGCTTTCAACTGTTTGTTTCTTGCTTGATTTTGGGATATAAATTATCAATTAATGATTCATTATATTTTCTAAAATGATCAAAAAGAATAAATATTTTTGTGACAGACAAATAGTAGAATAAACAAAAATATGAAAAAAGAAACCGAAATAGTAGTGAAAAATGAAATATTTATTATAAATGTGTCAAGAAATGAAGTTTCAAATAGAGGTCATCAAATTTTCTTTACCAAGGGTGAAGACTATGCGACCAAAAAAAAGTAATAAAGAAGTAAATCTTATATTATAGGAAACATTTACAAAGAAACTTCTAGAGAAAAATTGCAAAAGGTATATAGAGAGATAGAAAGATAAGTTTATGGAAAGAAATACTGAGAATATTTTATGTTAGAATGATAGTTTAAGAGATATGACATGAGAAGATTTCTTCAAACACAATTAAAAGTAGTTTCGGCTTCCAATTAGAATCACTTATATCACATGAATTTCTGTCAATTGAAACATATGTGATATAACTACAGGCATTTTCATAACATGATTTAATCACATGTAAAGGAACTATGAATGTAGAGAGCACATAAATTAATGATGTGAAACTATGGGGTTGAATGAATTGTATTTAACGGTATGAAATCTGAGAGAAAGAAAAGTAATCACTCAAGTTGAAAGGATTGCGCTGAATCTGGTGAAAATAGGAGAACAATTGAATGCTCACTAAGGATTAGAGGGTAGAATCCAAGAAATCTCACAAAGGATTTAAACAGTGTAACTTTTTCATGCGTCTGGAGACGCAAATAAGGGTGCAAAACTTATTTTTATAAAAAATCATTATAATTGTAATTTTTATATAATTTACTTTCTAAGGAATTATGCATAGAACTAGCAATAAATAATTAGAGAAATAAAATGTTGAAATAGTGAAATCTTAGATTTTACTTCATCGAGTGTAGGAATTTGAAATTCTCATTTATAGAAGTGGGACGTTGGGCCACCCTCAATATTTATCAAAAGTTCCAATCGTCTATGAACCTTCATGTTATTATAAAAAAATTCAACGGATATAATTCCTTTTTTCAAATTAAAGAATTATTATTTCAGTAAAATGTGCAAAATGTAGTAGGACTCATTTAATTTTTATAATGATGAGTATGAAACTCCAACCTTATGGAAATGAGCGGGTTGGTTTGGATAATAAACAATTATCTCTCTGATAAGTTAAAAATATGTGAGAAAATTCATATAAGATTATGGCAAAAATAATTAAATAAAGATTGCTAAACCACTAAGAAAATAAAAATACTGCTAAAACAATTATATAACCAAACTTTGAAATTTTGATTTTAAAAAATCAATCTTTAACTCGAAAAAAATGAGGAAGATCGCTTTAAAATTAGCGGAAATGTCTAGAAAATATTAATGGAGAAAAAAATAGTTGAGAGATATTCTTCAAGGGTTAAAAAGTTAATCCCACCCTTGCATTTTAAGTAAAATGTTTCTGACAATGATACGTTAAAGTAAAAATAAATTATTAGTTAGATAATGAACAATAAGTAAATCAAACGAATAAATGGGATAAAAAATAACAACTGAAATAAGATGAGAATTCATCGTACGTTAAAAGAAATGAATAAAATAAAAGCACTAAAAACAATAGTCACTTCGAAACATGGAATCAAGGTCATGAAATGAGATGAATGATGTCAATTCCAAGACTACAAATGTAGTCTACAAAGAAGTAGTGCGGGATATATAATCATTCAATTTGAAGTACATTAATTTTCCCTTTTCTTGTATTTTCTTTTAATGGATTTTTAACAATTCTCTTTGCGTTAAATAAATTTTCATTATATTCATTTGGTAAAGAGTTTTTTGTGTTTTTTTCATGTTTTCTATTTAAAAATACAAAATTATAAAATATTACTATTTTAGACTTCGGTTGTATTGTATTTTCTATACGCATATGTCTTCTCTGTTTATCGGACGGGTCTAACACCTAGTGTACTTAAAATGACAAAACTCATTGACCATAGAAATTAAACAATTGTAATTTATATCATTAATATTAATTTTCTACATATATCACTCAATCAGAAATGTCATATGATCGCTAAATCATTAAGCTCATATATA